TGTCTTGTTAAAATGTTTCATGAATTCAGGACTTTGAATGTGTTCTGGAGGTTTATAAACAAAATGGCACCTACCCATTCAATTAGCTTTAAAAAATTAAGCCAACCGACCATTGCATTATGACACTTTTGGAGCGATGATGCAGGTGTTAAAATCTTCCAAGAAAATGGATGTTGAACTCGTAAAACTTCATCACATGAAGCCAAGAGCATCTTGGATCATTCTACTGTTACACATCTTTTCCAAAGCAAATGCAGGCAGACCTCTGAGAACATTATTCAGACTAAGACAACTATGGCATCATTTAATACCTGATGAGCAAGACAGGAGAGATCCTGCAAATACACTGGCCCGCCAGGACCAGAACATTTCTGGTCTCTTCACTATGTAAAACATTTCACTTAATATGTACAAGTAGAAGAAATATTTTGCTTTGGAACGTTGTTTGGCAAAATCCTGTAGAAAAGTGACGCATCAATGACATCCGACACTGAATGAACGCTGCTTTAGACACCAACAGTTAAGTCACTTGGCATGTCACTTCACAGTCCCACTGCATCACCCTATTCATACCAGAGGTAATCTGCAGGAGACCTGTAGTGCACCACTCACATGAAGGAGCAGATTAAAAATGCTGAGGTCAGCACTGAAGAAAAAACTTTATTCTTTCCTTTGACCACAGCATCCCAAAGCACCAGTTTTATAACACAGAGCTGTTAAAAACTACAACTGTCTGAAAAACCCAAGAAGTCCCACAAGAACATGTCTTAACAGTATCATCAGGTGTTACAATGCTTGAAATTCTGAAGTTCTGCAACCATTTACAGAATGTGGATCTAGAATTCATGCAATGCCGAGTGTGCAACGGAAAAATCAGATCTTCCTTCCACTGACTGGAATTATAACTGGTTTCACACATCGCCTTGAGCCTCCCCTCCGTGTTATGAACCATCCCAAACATTTTAATCAATCTCAATAGGTGTAAATATTGTAAATGACAGCCCACAGATTTGTGCTGGATTTTATCTTTATTAAAAATACATTTACTCTCGAGCCATGAGCTTCTGCTTTTTCAGCTTCTTCTGGGAAACCTGAAAGAACAAAAATAGTCAACATCAGCTCAGGGTATAGTTCAACATTGCACTTTTTGCAATGAATCGAGTCTGGGAGGACCACTGTCAGGTTTCATTTGAGCTCAGTCTAAACCATCTTATTGTCATCTTAACTGGACCAATTTAAAAGCTCATCTCAGCACTTTAGGTATTAGTGGTTTGAAGAGACCCAGGAAACTGGCACACCACCCCTTCCGTGACCAGGACTGGGAATCTAGCTTGGAGGAAAGAAACCTGTACTGCAGCAAGCCAAACAGCAAAGGTTTTGTACTTCACACTTGCTTATGATTTCTTAGAAAGGTTTGCAGAATATAACAGTGTAACTGGACAGAAGGTACCTGCCCAGACTCTGCACATGTAAATCTTGGTTGCTCAGAATAAACTTTTTTTTTCATGGTTTCTCCAAAGGTGTCCTAAGAAGTCATCATTGCAACCATCAGCTAACAATTTTGTAAAACACCAAAAAAGCCTTTAATGAAACTGTCAATAACAGTTTTCCGTCACTGACACTTTTAAAACTACAGCAATACTATAAGCAATCACTACAAGCATAACTGGTCTAGAATCCTTCTGTTAGACCCTAACAGATATGCTTTGTATTTACTACTTCAAATTAGCAAAAAAAAATTGGACTTTGAAAAGTTCAATAGCCAACCGCTTAGAACACTGCCCCATGTAAAATGTCCATTAACACTTCAAGAGCCTGACCTGCCCCCCCTTTCATTTTGCTCACAATATCTTGCAGTCTCTATCCTGGTCTCCTACTGATTACGATCAAGAAGGGAGTGCAAAATCTCTAAACATTTATTCCAATTTAAAGTATGAGGGAAAAAAAAAACTTACATACAGAGCAAAGAAACCTTTTAACTACAACAAATTCAGCTACCAGGAAAATGTGTTGTAGCAGACAAACTTACATTTTAGTGAACAGAAATCACACAAGTAAATTAGTTATGCCGATTACCATTTGAGATCAACAGTGCTGCTCCATAGGGGATCCACTGTGAAAGTCGCTGGCTAATGGCATATGGCTACCACTGGAAACAATTCAAGCTGTATAATGGATGTACTCTGCACGAGGCTGCATTAGTCCAGGAAGGAGTAAAAGTAAGACAGAAGCAGCTGTGCTGTCTGATTGCTGGAATCTGATTAGTTACTTGTGGGCTCAGGGCTACAAAGTGACTAACTGCAACACTACCTCAGGAATATTTTAAGCAGTCTGGTTTTCTAAAGGGGATGACATCACTTTCTATAACACGCTCAACACTAATAAGTCCTGTAAAATAACCATTAAGGTGTCTACTTTGTGTGGCAACTACAGTTTAAAGACATCACCCCTAGCTCATCTTATAAAGGTTTGAAGGGACTAAAGTCGAGCAACTAGGGCACCACAGCATACACCCCATTCTCGTCTCACAAAAAGCTGCTAAAACGTAAGCAGCACAAGGACTCATCATCCTGCTGGAATGTTGCAAAATCAAGGTCAGCCCACAGGAAACAGCAAGTGAGGTCCCAGGATTTTATTCAACGTAGGACTGTACATTTAGGTTGTGGATCTTTGCAGGCAGTAGAGGTTTTCATAGGTGAAACCCGAGGTGAACTGAAGTGAAATGAGGCGATTTGGTGGTTATGTAACAAAAAACAATCAAAACATGTGAAATCTGTAAAATTGACCTAAAAATGTGCATGCCTACAGCGATTTTGATGCTCAGTATGTAATTAGTCAGTTTTGCTTACTACCCAAGCCAATGATGGCTCACCATTTCTCTCTCGTCAAGAGATGGCGAGCTGAATTAAATCAATTCTCAGCCTATTTAACATCCTTTCTCTGTACCTGCCAAAGAAATGACTTAATAGGCTTACTATTGTATGACTAAACCTTACACAGGTCTGCAACCTGAACATAGCGGATCCAAAGGACTTAATTGCCAAATGTTACCTTCTTCTTCTGAGCAACCTCCTCTTCTGGTTTGGGAACAATCTGCTCCTTCTCTGTGAGGATCATCTCAATGTGGCAAGGGGAGCTCATGTAGGGGTTGATGCGGCCGTGAGCACGGTAGGTACGCCTGCGCATCTTGGGAGCTTTGTTGACTTGGATGTGCTCGATCACCAGAGAATCCACGTCGAGGCCCTACACCCAGAGAGCAAACTGTTTCAGCTCCGAGCAGAATTTCATAGAATGTCAAGGCTGAGTTTCTACTCGGAGGCAGGCGCATTAAAGCAAGACACCACCTTGAGCAAAACTGCTTTTACTCGGGCCCTTTCAGCTGCCCTTTACACTGCTGTTAAGTGTTCACATGCAGCATTTATAACAGAAATAAACTAGCTTCAAGAAAAAACTGCAAACCCAATGGCTGCAACAAGTTGTGTAACTTACACTTCCATCAAAATATTTACCATAATTGCTCAGGGTTTAGAATTTTTTTTCATGGTATTTCCAAAGGTGTCCTAAGAAGTCATCATCGCAATTATGGCTTGTTCTAGAATCTTCAAATGAATGTCACATTTTATAATGAATACAAGCTGATTCTAAACACAAATGAAAAACTAGACATCGGTTTTAATTTTGATTTTTACAACAGAATAGACAACTCAATAACCTATTGCAGGAAATAAAAGTATTTGGCTGCACGTGATGGCTACAGCTTTCATTCAAGTTCTGTACACAAAACTGATTTATACCGATTGTATAAAACCTGCCATGACACAATCACATACAGTAAAAGAATTGAGTTAATACATTAGCAATGACCCATGCACACTGTACTACATTCTGCACTGGATCATAAAAAGACACATGTTCAGCTGAATCTCAACAGGAAAACCTGCCATACTTGAGCAACTTCCTAAGTAGAACTGTGCAAACACATCATTGTTCTAAGATTTAAACATTTTGCCTTAGTTTATGAGTAACTTTACAACACTATAACACATAGCCACTAACACAACATTGGAGGATGCATTCCTGCAACACTGACCAAGGGCTTGTAACTAGTTTGTTTTTAAGACAGCGATGGTAAATCCATTTGTAATCACTACCATCTAAAAATCTTTCAGATGTAATATATCTGTCATATATAAACTGCAATCTGCCAATGGTGTCTATTCAGGTTGTTCACATCACACCACTGCCACCTAATCCACTTTAAAGCATTTGAAGTCTAAACCTTGAGAGACTAATTACCTTGAGCTCAGCATTACTCTCGGCATTCTTGAGCATGTGGAGAAGGAACTCAGCACTCTTCTTTGGCCAACGGCCCTGTGTCCAGTCCCACTGCTTAGCCTAATTCAGAAAAATGTTAATTAATATACCAATATCATTTTCCTTTGCTCAGTAAAAAAAAGGATAAATGTGAAACTGAGCTTTTTAGTTTGACATAAGCAAGATACCAATATGTGCCCAAGTTACACAATGGAACGGTTGCTCAGAGACAAAAAGGTTGTTTTCATGCTTAAATCCAAAGGTGTCCTAAGATGGTCATCACTGCAACCGTTGCTCACAACTGTGCAACACGCATGCAAAAAGCATATCCAAAAACAAGACATTTTGTATATACAATGGGCAGCACAAGACCCCAGTTGTGCCTAACACACTAAACTATTAAAGACGTACCAGAGTACATGAAGAGGGAGAACTACGGGAGGGATGGATAAGGCAATACCTTTTACAGCATGCTACCTAATCAAGTCTCTTCCTTTCATTCCTTTGGCAAGAGAAGTTTATCTTATGGGCCGATTCCAAAATGCGGGGCTGGGAGTGGGCTCAAATGCTGTAACAAGTGAAAAAGAAAGGGCATATGGGGACGTAGTGGGATGTCTGAGGGGAGAGTAACCTTAAAGGGGAAGACAAAAAGTTAAGTTTGCTGCAAAAAGGACATTTTGGAAAATGGTTAAAAAGGAATACTGAAATGGAGCTGGGAAGGGTTTCTCTGCTATTTTCATTCATCATACTAAGTGTGTTTATACTAGTAATCTGGCATAGAACAGGCTCGAGTACACCACGTCGGGGTTATAATTGAGTTCCCATAGAAATATTATAGGCCACCTGCAATAATTGCCCAAGTTATGCCAAGCCAATGGGAAACAATTTAAATACCAAATCTTACACTATTCAGTGTGCCATTCAATCGCTGTTCTCATGATAAGCAACATACAAACCAAACCATGGCCAGAGCACATTAATGATCACAAAACCCATGTTTCTGCACAAGTTTTCTATGAGCAATCAAGGAGACTTTATTCAGAACTACTGAAGAGTGGAAATGGTTGGTCTGGCAATTGCCACAAAAGGGAACTACAATACTAACATCTTGCATAGTGAGTGAATGAAGCATTATAAATGCGTTTCCGATTTGAGGTAGCTGTTAACACATAACAGATTGCGCCAAATAGAGCAAGATCTGGTATTTCAAAGTTTCACATTACTCTAGCTGACCTGGGGGTGCTGCAACTGAGAGCTGCATCATACGCACAAGTGGTTCACTGGCCTGTAAGCTGCCGCAGAGCTCACCACGTTAAAGGGCTGAAAAGTGAGTACCGTGGGAAAGCAAACGCATTCCATTCACAGTGACCCTCTCACTCCCATCCAGAAACTCACCTGGGCACACCGGCCAACTCCCCCGTTGTACCGACGGAAGGGGACACACTGGCGCTTCACAACGACATCCTTCAGGTACTTGGTAGCCTTGCGGATGTGCATGCCTTTGATGGCCTGAGCAGTCTCACGGGTGTTCTAGGACAGAGCACGTTACACAAGAAGGCAGAGCTGCATTACATGAGATCTGACTGAGCTGTTTCCCTGAGGGGCACATCGGCATGAAGCATGGTGGTTAAAAATTGCTCAGATTATAATTTGGTTTTGTCATATTGAATTCCAAAGGTCTCCTAAGTTTGATCATCACGGCAAAATTCAACACCAGCCTTTATTTTCGATACTACCATTTTACTACATCTAAATAATTAGACTATTATATTTTGCCAGAATTTTTTTTCATATTAGGACAAGACAAATATACACCCGGAAAAGGCTTCACAGCAGAAACGTTGCGTTTCCTTTCTTCTCTTTTCAGCATGGAATAAACCTTTATTTGTTCCTTTGCAGCCTACGAATGTCGACGCAGCTACCCACCTGAACTACTAAGCCATATATAGTTTGTCAAAATAAGATAAAATAATGATCACATATGTTCATATGGTGAAAGTACTAAATTGTGCATTTCCTTAGTTTTGGAAGCTCATCAATTTTCCTTCAACATGATTTGCTTTAGGTAAAAGAATATTAAAAGCAAGTGTTCAAATATCCCACTGAGTCAATTTCAGACATTAAGATGTGATGAAACTTCCAAGTTTAATTTTCCGATATAAAATGATTCAAAACTCTAAAGCTGGGCTGATTTTCTGGACTAGGCAGAAGTGTTGTATTTTTCACTAATTAATGTGTAGCAGAGAACAAGAATGCCCTGCAGCAGTAAAAAAAAAAACACTTAAAACCTAAATCAGCTGGACAGAATACCACCAGGGTCACCTAAAGTGGTCTAAGTGCATGTACGCAGTTTCATAACCACCACAGGCCCCCTCCAGAAAGGCAAGAGATCTACACTACTGCTTTTCAGAGTGATGGACCAGGGAACAGGAAGTACCAGGTCACGGAGACAGCCACAGGTAGATAATCCAGGTCATAACTACACAGACCAAGACACTGAGAGAAAACAGAGCCGCTCCTACATTTGAGTAACATGTATCTAAACACCGTTTTGAAGCCAATACCACAATATTGCCTATCTCAGGTAGGGTTATTTTCTCTGCTTAACCATGCCCGAATGGCCTTACCGATAACCATATTTACAGCCACAGAGCATGTGGATTGATCATTACATGTAAATCAGTTTCTTGGCTTGTGACCCGTTCCTTTCAAAACAATGTGCTGAGGGCTTTTATTGTTTGGTTGTTAATGTTTTAGTAATTAATCTAAGTTAAAATAACACAGACTCGTTTAGTAATGACGTAAAACACACCAAACAGTCAGCTCTCTCATGCATTGGTAAATAAGACGTATACCAACATCAACAACTCCGTAAATTATTTTCCTACAGGTGATATAGTAGTCTTAACAGTTAATATACAAACCAATGCAGCATTTTATCTATATTTCACAGAGACGCCTAATATTTTCATTTAGTAGTGTAACACTGGCAGGCTAACATAGAAAACTAAACCTGTTCCTTTATTGCATGCAAATATCTTCGCTGGTCTCAGAAACCAAATACACGTGGGTTGATTTCAGACAATCACCCTGGATCAACAACTGCAACATTTATTCTTAAAACGCCTTCCACGCTGTTTTCTTTCATACGTTAGGCAAACTGTACGAAATAACGTTACTTCGAAAACATCTGCTTTTCGAAAAATAAGAGCTCCCCTTTTGGTATCTATTTCTAGTATAAAACAGAACCGCTCACTTCCCTTAAAATAAGAACCAAGGGTCTTTCACACAAGAATAAATCGTTACCTTGAAGTGGACCCGCAGATTGGATCCCCTGGCTTTGCATGCTGTTGGGAAAGAAACACCAGTAAGACGACAAAGCATGAAGACCAACTGAATTAAAACAAGATCACAGGGCAAGGTGACGGCGCGAACAGTTCCAACGTTAAAACTTACATTTAGTTGGGTTCTCGGGATCAAGAGAATAGCGGACCATTCTGACAACTTCGCTGTAAAAAAACAAACAGGAAAATGGATAAATTATAAACGTATTCAAAGCAAGCAAAATTACTCCATGAACAACAGCCAGAGGAGAAACATGTTCCACGTTACAGAGACCGATGCAGGCCTTGCACTCTATATAGAGGATTATGAATGAAGATCACCGTTTATCAGATTAAGAAATCAGCGTTCTTTAGACCATTCGTCAAGTTTTTCAAATGATTAATATTTCTCCTCACATGTACTGAACATCGAATCAGTGTGTTGCTTATTTCCGTACAATAAGGCTGAACTGGTCAGCGCAAAATGTAGGCGGCAGTCAGCCATTGTATCGTTCTGGTGCTAAGACTGGGAGTTTAATGTAAACATCTCTTAATAATCCACATATCAACAGTAAAAACATCCTCTACTACTGTATAACACACAGCATTGTTATATTTTCGTTTCAGAAGCACGATGCCTAAGATTTAAGACAGATTTTAGCTATCTTCGCAGCGCCCATATTCTCTATCATGACCTACTCTTGTCAGTCCGCGACAGGGAAGAGGAAAGACAACGTGCCCCGGAAGCACAAATGGACTCGTGTGATATCGCGAGATGAAATGCTGAAACGAGAATCATGAAGCTATCGCTGCTTTCTTAGACAGCGGTGTACTGCAACAAATGCTATTATTTCGTGTCAGGATATAATTATCAGATCCAAACAAGAAGTGACCATGGTCCTTAAGCGAACAAAACTCCATTATCGATTATTTTAAAACGAAAAAAAGACAATGTTTTAATGACTATGAAATCTAACAGCATTTCAATTCAAACCTGTAAATATATTTTAATCTAAATAATTACTTTTATCTTTTATATTCTTGTTTTATCAGACATATATTTTACGATATTGGGCCTGATTGTAAGAGTTATTCTTTATTCCTGTTTCATTTTTTATCATTGTTAAAAGTAGTTACTGTTCTATCATTCCTAATTGCCTGAAAGTTTCTGTTCTCGTAATTCTTTGCATTTTAAAAATTAAGAAGTTTGGTTTAGAAATGTTTCTCTTCATTCCCTCGTTACTCATAAGTTCTGGTTGGACAACCTTCGTAAATACAAACTGTTGGATATAAATATTCAGTGGGATATCCTGTTCTCATTCAAACATTCAATCTCTGGAATATGCCAGTTTTTTGGACACACCAAAGAGTATTATTATGATTTTCAGCATTCAAGGGTACAGGACATTAAAAATATCTCACCCTTATGTCTCTGGAAGAATTATATTTAATTTCAGGTTTGTTCCAACAATTTGTCCATAAATGCAAATCCACA